AAAGTGAATTATTTATATATGTATATATTATATATGTATGTACTATACATGCATATATATCATATTTTATAGTTATACAAACTGCGCGCCGAATTTTTTCTGCATTTACAAACACAATTAAATTACTGGAATAATATCACAAATTAAATTAAATTGACAAGCAAATTTTGATGTTCAATCCGATATCATATTATAAGAATGTTAATGTGCTGAAAAACTTCAAATAAATTTATTGTGAAAAATATTACCTCAGCCGGGACTTAAATCCGGATCTCTGTATTCCGTACGAGCGTTCTAAGCCATTTTTATATCAATAAATAAATGTCTAAATCAATAAATAGATAGGTATTAACACATCATTTATAAGTAATGAATAAATCAACAAATAGGTAGATATCAATAAATTATTTACGAATAATTTAGTTTGATAATATTTCTTGTCAATAATCTTCTTTTAATACCCACGATAAACATTCCATAGTTAGTTTTTAGTTATCGTTGCTAGGTTGCTAAGTTAGCTGTGGAAATAAAATAATTAAATTGAGTAAATGGATTAAATAATTGAATTAAATAAACGAATAAGTAAATAAATATGAATAAAACTAATCAGAAATTGGACAAAGTAGAAAAATCTGTCCTTTTTAGGGGATATTAAAAAAGGTTCGATTTTTGTCTAAAGAATGTAAAAGAAATAGTGTTTTTTTGTAGATTTTGACTTCCTGAATATGATAAAATTATTAAAAAGTTTGTGGCACTTGGGGAACACCTTGAAAAGTAAGTAAGAATATTGAAATTTGTTCAAATATTGTATATCATATTCATACTCAATTTTCAAGATGTTCTCTATCGAACCCCAACTTTTTCTTAATATTATCGTACTCAGAAAGTCAAAATCTATTTAAAAAATGCTATTCCTTTTATTTACACCTTTATGAAGAAAAACCTCTTTAACATCCTCCTTTCTAATTCCTTGTAATATTTATTTTTTATTTACTTGTTTATTCATTTATCTATCTGTTCATTTATTCATTTATTTATTTATTAATAATATATGAAAAATTAAATTTTATTATATGAAAAATTAAAATAAAATTTCAATTCGGAAAATACATAGTAAGTGTGAGGAGTTTTATGGCATGCTACGCTCCTGCGTACTCAGCTGCGCGCTGTCTTAATTCGTCGCTGATTAATCAACTTTAATTATTAATAACTCTGTAAATAATAGTCTGACAAGGGAACCTCGCGAAGTGTCAAATTTTGATTTTAATGAAACTTTGTATACTTTGTGACGTGACATTTTTTATCGTTCGTCACAAGGATCCGACGATCGAAATAGCGCGGCATTATCGTCCTGTATCCTCCCGACGCAGAAGGCGTGTCAGCGCTTATCACAATTTTCGAACGGTTTTTATTATTACATTTCTCGCGAAATATTATTATTGTTTGCGAGTTTATTTAGGATAATCGGCGATTTTGATGATTTGTTGTACGAAGCATCGTTTCACCACTTCAACTGACGACAAGGAAGAAGATGGAAGACTCGTATCGGAGGTCACTTAGAGAAAAAAATAGCACGCAGGTAATACTGTTTTGAATTTTCCGAATTAATGCTTTGTTTATGAACTTGTCATCCTATTGCTGAATTTCTTACAGGCAATTACTAAAAAGAAGCGACTAAAGCGGCATGAGGGAATGACCACTTTCTGCCATAGTACGAGCGAGAGTAAAGGAGCCTCTGCCGAGAGAAGATGTCAAATTCGGATGTCAATTAGAAGCGGAGATCATCCGAACAAGGAGCCCATCGAATAAAGATAATCCGCCAAGATAATTCAGAGGGTAAGCAGAAGAGATCAAGCAGAAAAGTTGTATTTCAGAAGAACGAAAAATTGTTATTAATGATTATAAAAGAAGAGCTATTAAATTTTGAAAAAGTGCAAAAAAGGAGCGATTCCTTTTCATTGGTAATTTTAAAAAGATGAAGTCTTTGCGCGCAGCAATTATCGATGGGAATATTACCTACAAAAAGGTATCCATAAAGAAAAGATATTATACATATATGTATATTTCTGAATGTCTTACAAAATTTTAAAGAAGCTAATGATAAGAAAAGAATTATTCATGATATGGATTTACGATGATAGGCTCTAGAAGTCAAAACACAAATCGATTTTCCTTCATTTAAAGCTGGTGCAACATGGATATTAAATTATTAAAAAGAACATAGAATTATATAAAGAAAAATAACAAAATTTGTAAATTGTTCTGTAGATAAAAAGCAATTACAACTGCATGTCAGGAATTCATGGCTACCGTAAAATCTTATATAAGTCTTTTTGAACTAGAAAGTATATATAATGTAGACGAAAGTAGATTTAATTTGGATCAATAAAGGAGTGTAAAAGCCAATAGAAAAGTTTGTTTAGACCTGCAAACATTTACATTGCAGCAAATGAACTAAACAATACTTTCAGTCTTGTATAAGTCTTTTACAAATGTATTTGTATTCGCTACGGAAGTTTCAGTGTACTATTATTAGATTCTTAGAGAACATTGTCCTGCAAGTCTGCAAAAATTTATGTCAAAAAGATAAAGATATATGGATTTTAACTATACCAAAGAAAACTACAGAAATGATTCAATCTTTTGATATTTATGAGTAGATTTGATTTCAGACTATGGAAAAATTTTATGAGAACATTCGTGTTATGTTATTAAATCATGATATTAATTTACATTTGACAAATAATATCAAATTACAATTTTTGATGCATATACAGCTTGTTCTTCACGATTTCATAATTTTTTTAAATATGCCTGATTCAAAAGTGGGTACATCGAAGAGCCGGCACATTTCGAAACTTCAATAGATTTTTCTGAAAGAGGATATTCAAGAAATACCACGCTGCTCCATATGTGATGCACCTGCTATAATATGTTCTGAGATGTTCCTGATGCAAGAAATATTTTTGTATGCAGCACTTTTGTTATGAATATTATAATTGTGAACATTTTATCATACAATAATTATGTTAGTATTAACAACGAGATTTACAATTAATTTTAAAATTTACAATAAATACATTCATTGCTGTTCATAATAAAAGAGATGCTTATACATTACAGGAAATATATGATACGATAACTGAAAACGATAATAAATATATGACACCACTGTTCAGATATCAAAGGAGTAATGGCAACCTGTCTCTTGAATTAAGTAACATTTTTGACTTGTTAACTTCCACCAGGTTTTAGCCGTCGCTCATTATTCATTAAACGTTATTAACAAAAGAAATTCAAAAAATGATGTCTCTTTTCTACTATACAAAACAGAAATTTTCTGCTTTAAAGTATATTTTACAACTTTCCAGGCGAAATGACTCTCACCCCACTTTCCCCCTGCTAAAGTTATATAAAAAATTATGTAAGAAAGTATTTGCATTAAAGAGCAGGGAATTTGTTTCATCAAAGTACAGTTGTGTCCAAAAGTTAGATTTTAATAATGAACTTTTTAACGTATAACAAGCAACGGCTAAAATCTGGTGCAGGTCACTCAGGATCATAACTAGAGATGTAAACGACGGAAAAACACTAGAATTTTAAGGTAAAATCTTGGAAATTAATAATTTTTTTCCTTTTACTTTGACAGTTTTTTACTCCAGATATATTTTATGCCAGATATTTTTTTTAAATCATTTAGATCTGTTCGTTTTGCTTGAAATCCTCCAAAATTTTTACACTTAAAGTGATATTATTAGAAAAATAAATTCTATTATTATTAGAGAAATAGAATTGCAACAGCCAATAATACATATTTCCGTTTCGACATAAAATTATAAAGATAAAAGTATTAAAAAGTATCGAAATAATAAGAAAAATTTTATTAATTAATATTTAACGTGAATTCTAAGATTTTTCATGAATTTTATGTAATTTGTTCAAAAATACCATTTTTTTACAGTAAAAAACTAGTTTTTTACTTGATATTTTTCTCTGAAATAAAAAACCGTTTTTTTACTATTTCTAATCACAAATCGGAGCTGCCTTCCCTATTCGGCATATTTACCGAATATTTATTTAAAAACTTTTTTTGGAAATTTTGAAAATAAAATTTTGAAAAATAATTTTTAAAAAATATTATTAACGCGAATGAATACAGCTAATTTTGTTGTAAAACTTTTGTACAAAAAAATGTTTTGTGCAAGACATTTTTTGATATTTCGAATAGTTTTCGAGATATAATGGAAAAAGTTACAAACCGCTCTATACATAAGTGATTTCACTCCAAATCGTTTTTTAATCGCGATTGATATTTTCTAAATTCATCTCTTTAAGCTATAAGTACACAAAGTTTCATTAAGATCAGAATTCGATCTCCAGGATTCAGAATTTGAACCTCGCGAGATTCTCTTGTGAGTCAAAAGTGAGAAAAGAACTTTTAGTTCAAAATTTCATCCTCTTTGTATATATGCAAGTATGCATATATTTATCTATATGCATACTTACATATGTATGTAAAGATGCGTTCTGTTTTACACATGATGCG